GCTAATCCAAAAGATGACTTTCCATTATCACATATCAATGTCCTAGGCAACAATGCTATGAAGAATTCTTGGATGAGTTTTTAGGGTACGATCAGATCAAGATGGTAGTAGATGATAAGGAGACGACAACATTTATCACACCTTGGGAAACTTTTTGCTATAAGGTTATGCCTTTTGGATTGAAAAATGTTAGAGCCATTTATCAAAGAGCCATAGTTACCTTATTCCATGACATGATGCATAAAGAAGTTGAAGTGTATATAGATGATATGATTGCCAAATCCAAGAATGAAGAGGAATATGCTATAATAATGAGAAAGCTATTTGAGAGATTAAAGAAATACCGATTGAGGTTGAACCCTACAAAGTGCACTTTCGATGTGAAGTCTAAAAATTACTCGTTTTTATAGTAAGCAATATGGGAATTGACGTTGATCCTAACAAAGTTAAAGCCACCTGTAGTATACCTTCACAACCAAGAAAGAAGTCGAAGCTTTCTAAGTTGCTTGAATTATATCACTCACTTTATCTATTACTTAACTAATACTTGCAATCCAATATTCAAATTGTTACAAAAGAAAAATCCTTGTGTTTGGGATAAAGACTATCAAGAGGCCTTTAACCGGATCAAATAATATTTACTAAATCCACCACCATTGGTATCACTTTTACTAGAAAGAAATTTCATCCTTTATTTGTTGGTGACAAAAATAGCCATGGAAAATGTCTTGGGTCGGTAGGATGAGTTAAGAAAGAAAGAGTAGGCCATCTATTATTTGAGTAAAAAGTTTACCGATTGCGAGTCAAGATACAATGCACTAGAGAAGATGTATTGTGGTTTAGTGTGGTGTGCACGATAACTCGAACAGTATTTGTTGTATTACACTACTTCGTTAATCTAAAAAATGGATCCTCTTAAGTACATCTTTGAGAAGCTATAGTCTCTAGTCGGATTGCAAGGTGACAAGTCATATTATCTAAATATAACATTGTATACATGACAAGGAAGGTAGTAAAAGGAAGTGTTATAGCTGATTATTTAGCAGATAATGTAATAGATGAGTACGAGCCTTTGAGATTTGATTTTCCTAGTGAATTAATTATGGTGGTCGAGAAAGAGGAGTCGAGCCAAAGGATGACATGTGGGTCTCGTATTTTGATGGGACTATTAATGTGTCAAGAAATGGTATCGGATCAATCTTGATTTTATCAAAAGGAAGACAATTTCCCATGGCAGTTAAGTTATAGTTCAAATGCATGAACAACATCACCGAGTATGAAGTATGTGTTCATGGCCTAGAAGCGACTTTAAAATAAAGATAAGCAACTTGATGTATACGATGAATCTTTACTCATAATCGATCGAGTGAAAGGAGAGTGGAAGACAAAAGATAAAAAGCTAAAGTCATATCAAAAGTACCTAACGAAGTTGACCAATCGGCTTGAAGAGATTGAGTTCACCCGTCCGGGTCGAGAGAAAAACCATTTTGCTAATACAGGTAGCAACATTTACTTCCATGATTGAAATTGAATGTGGGGTGAAGATTAAACCTAAATGCATTGAAACAAAAAATACTCTAACATACCGTTATGGTCCGATTGAAGAAGGACTAGATGGAAAACCATGATACCATGACATCAAATAGTTTATTAAAAACAAAAAGTATCCAACTCGTTATAACCAAGAATGATAGGAAGATGCTAAGAAGATTGGCTATAGATTTTATCTTAAAGGTGAAATCCTATACAAAAAATGTTTTGATGGCTCTCTGTTGAGATGTTTAGATGTGGCCAAAGTAAAGAAGACTATAAGAGAGGTCTACGAAGGGCTCTATGCTACACATGTTAGTGGACATAAGATTACTCGACATACTCGGTGAAGTGGTTATTTCTAGACCACCATGGAGAATGATTACATTGACTATGTTCGAAAATGTCATAAGTGCCGATTCATGTTGATCGAATAAATGCTCCACCAAAACCCTTTTTCAATATGGTCTCTCCCCGGCCATTTACAATGTGGGGTATCGATGTCATCATACCAATAAATCTTAAGGCAAGCAATAGGTATCGTTTCATTCCGGTGGTAATTGATTATTTTGCCAAGTGCGTTAAAGTTGCTTCCTTTGCATATGTAAATCAAAAGGTCATTTATAGATTGGTTGAAAAAGATATAATCTTCGAATATGGCTCTCCCGAAACCTTAGTGACGGACAATGCTTAGAACTTTAATAGTAAAATGATGACAAATTTATGCCAATAGTGGAAGATAAAGTATCGTAATTCCTCTTCATATAGACCTAAGATGAATGGAGCCATAGAGGTAGCAAACAAGAACTTGAAAAAGATTATTTCAAAGATAGTGGTTTCATACAATAACTAGTCTAAGATGCTACCATTTGCCTTATATGCTTATTAAACAGGTTGTCGGACCTACAATAGGAGTGGCTCATTACTCTCTAGTATATGAAATAGAAGTATTGAGGCCTTTAGAGGATGAAACACCCTCTCCGAAAGTCTTAAAAGAAGTTGAGTTAGAAGAATCTAAATGGGAAAAAATCCAATATGAAAATCTAAATCGATAAGTGAGAAATGGTTTGCTTGTCATATGCCATGCCGAGTCGTATAAAAAAAGAATGGCTAGAACATATGACAAGAAGATACGTCGGAGAGGTTTTAAGGAAGGGGAACTAGTATTGAAGAAAGTGTCTGCAGATATCAAGGGTAGATAGAGTAAATGGGCACCAAAGGTCCTTGTATGGTAAAAAGACTTTCTCGAGTGGAGCTCTCATTCGAAAAACATGGATGGCGATGAGTCGTCCAAGCCGATGAGTTCGGATGTTGTAAAGAGATATTGCAAGTAAGTTATAACTCTCTTTAGTTTAGAACAATAAATATTCAACAAATTTTGGCCGATCTAATTTATGTGTTGCCATTTTCTCTTGCTTCTTATTTTCTTTGATTACCTCTCATGATTAGATTTATGATTTCTAGATTTCTTTTTGAAAAAATAAAAACCCACATTTTCAAATGTGATAAGTCCCTAAAAGCCTATTTCCTTAGTCATATGCAAAATAATGTATTCATATTATCTATGAAATGCGATAAATAATTTAAAATATTTATCAAAATAATTTAAGAATGACATGATAAGTGGTTTACCAAGGTCTTTAGCATGACAAGACCTTCCAAATCATGCTTGCTTGGAAAGCAAGTCATGGGACACCTCATGTAATTTTGATAAGTCAAAAGAAATTCACACGGGGCATACCCTCGAGGGTATAATGGATAAAATTTAGAGTATAAAAAGGAAAATTCATCTTATCCCTAAACATTAATCGGATGGTGTTGATATGATCATATGACCTATAATCAATAGCCATGACATAGTGCATAGATGGGCCAACTTAAAAAGGCATTAAACCTTGCACTTTAATTGCGGACGAGAAAGGTGTCACCGAACAAGAAGAGAAAGTGTGGTTTGAACAGATCAAGACTTATACTTCTAACAATGAAAAGCATAACTTGCAAGCTAAAAATGCATATCAAATAATAACCTTATAACTCTACATAGTTATCTCACCGAAAAAGGATTAATCATCCTAAATAATAAGCCCGAAAATAACTACTCTTAATATGTGTCCGGTCCAAAGTTGCCTATGTAAAGTCGGACCTAAATGGTTAGTCATATCTTGTAAAAAAAAATATGATTTATCATGTCATGCCAAATTAGAGAGTCCATCAAATATAATAAAGTTGACATGATCTATCATGTCACTCTAAGTCGAAGTGGTCCGTCATGTTTTATAAGGTCAAAGTACTCTATCACATCTTGCAAAGTTAGAGTGGTTTATCACATCTTTAAAGTTAGAGTGGTCTATCACATCGTGCAAGGTCATAATGATCCGTCACGTCTAGCATAGTCAAAGTGACTCGCCATGCCTAGCAGAGTTAAAGTGGTCCGTCACATCTTTCCAAATCGGGGTGGTCTACCAAATATAGTAGATTCGACGTGGTCTATCATATCCCTTTAAGTCAAAGTAGTCTATCACATTCTATAAAGTCAAAGTGGTATGTCACGTCTTGTAAAGTCGGAGTGGTTTATCATACCAATAAGGTCGAGTAGTTTGTCATGTCTTGCAAAGTAAGAGACCGCTAGAGTGGTATGTCACATCTTGTAAGGTCGAATGGTCCGTCATATCCTATAAGGTCAAAATGGTCTCGTCATACCTTAAAAAATTAGTGGTCGATCACGGCTCGTCAAATAGTCGGTAGTCAAATAGTTAGTTATAATTTAAATTTGATGATTATCTTTTTCTTATCTATGTTCACTTATAGTTTGCACCGTATGTTCTTATTTCAATTTTTGTTTCTTTACAAAGCTTTCTATACAAAGTCAAAGAATAAACATTCAATGACTTTGTAACAAAACCATTGCAAATAATGGACAACTATTATTATCCAAGTTTTTACCCTTATTAGTTTTACTTGTATTTTTATTTTTATTGCAAAATACCCAAAAAAAATGAAAATGAAAAAATAAGCAACAAAAAAAAATGAAAAAATGGTAAACAAAAAAAAATGCCAAGTAAAAAAAAATCAATTGAAACAATTAGCTTAGGATTAATTCTAATTAAAGAGAGGGTGAACTAATTATTGAAATTAGGAAGTTTAGAAGTAATAAAAAGGGCAATTAAGGGCCTAATCAAAACAATCAAAACTTATGCCCTCTAATTAAAATAAAGATGGGGCATAATTGGAAAGAATAAAAAAAATCCCAACTAATTCAAATTCAGGGGCTCTATCGAACCAAAAACAAAAAACAAAATTAAACTCAAATTGGGGGATTGTGGAGAGTATAGACCAAATCGAGTTTTTCCAGAAAAACCTTACCTATAAAAACCACTCTCATACAATTTATATAGACCTTCCACTCGTTCATCTCTCTCTTTTTTTTTTTTTTTGAAACATACCTAATCGATATTATTCATCTCTCTCCCTCACTCGAAACCTTCTTTCGTAGCGACCTCTAACAGAGCCTCCCCATAAATCACCACATCCTCTTCACACTTCTTTCGATAACCTCTTTTTCATTTGAAACTTCCCTTTCATCAAAACCTTTCTCGCACACATTCATCACCTAAACCAATAACCCTCTTACGCTATAGCCTACTACAACCTATAGCCACCCACACACACTAGTCTCGTTCACTCCAACTAGCATTCCAACTCCCTCCTTAAGTGTCGGCCTCCATCAATTTCCTTAAGCGAGTCCACCAACAACCCTCTCCCAGGTGCACCAGCTCCAGCTTTTGGTAGTTTCTCACGCAACCATCGCAGCTCCAAGACTCCCTTCATAGCTCTAATGACCCCTATACCAAGCATACCTAAATAGCGACCCTCACTTACCACAACCTTTACTTCACGCTCCAAGCAATAGCATCTCCCTATCACATAGGCTTTCCGCCTTACATGCCTACCACCGGTAACCTCTCCCTCGCATGCTAGACCCTTCAGCAAATAGCCCCAATCTCTTTTCATTACTAGCGTGCATGGCTAGCCTCTCTAGCAGCTCTCCTTTTAAGGCCAGCCAAGCACCTCATCTCATAGCGAAGATGCTAACCTCTTTAACGAGCCAATAGTCCCTCTTAGTAAGCCAACAACGATCCCTATTAAACCAACAATAGTGTCTCCCTTAGTCTAGTAGTAGCTAACCAACCCTTTCTAAGAAAATATAAAAAAAAAGAACAAAAAGAATAAAATTTGTTATGGGATTTTTTTTTCTAACCAACAACAGATCCTTATTAGACCAACAATAGTGTCTCCTTTGGTCCAAGTAGTAGCCAACCAACCCTTTCTAAAAAAATATATAAAAAAAAGAGCAAAAAGAATAAAATTTGTTATGGGATTTTTTTCCGATGTAAAAATATAGCAATAAAAGTCTCATTGAGTTTCAAGAAACTTTGTATTAACTTTTGCAGCAGACCACTACCTCAATCTGTTTGCACATATTTCGTAGAACTTTTTGGTCGGCTTAGCGAGACCCATATCACATTTTGTCAACAAACAACCTCTCTCCTTTCTTGACTAACTTAATAATTAGTTTTCATCAGGATCGAAGAGAATAAAACTAACCTTATATCGGACATCAAAATTATAAAAAATTTTGGTAAAATTCCAAAACTATTGGACTCTTTTTTTTCTTAAAAAAAATGAAAGTTAAAAATGAATGGCTTATTTGATTGTGTGAAACTTTTGCATTTTGTTTAAATATCCATAATTTAAATATGGTTGAAACAAACATTACTATAATGGACATTAAAAGACAAACTACATTGTTTTACTCCTACATGTCTAAATCTGCATTGTTTGAGTATGTGAATGAAAATATTTTATTTTGTTTAAATATCAAAGATTTGAATATGGATTAAAGAAAACATTATTGTAATAGACAATGAAGGATAAACTACACTCGCTTTACACTTGCAAGTCGAATAAGAAGTTTGTGCTTGTTCTTGTGATTGATCGATTAATTGTGTCCGATTGTAATGTGGAAAAGAAGTTACTAGGGATTTTGGAATCATTTTGTATGTTTCCTATATCTATTTCCTATTTTCTATTTATGTTTCCTACTCATATTTCCTATTTCTTTTTGCTTAATTTTGAATCATGGTTGGTTGTAATGTTTGAAACGAAGCTACTAGTGGCTTCCTACTTATGTGATGAAGCCATCGATGGTTTTGAAATCATTTTGCTTGTTTTCTCGTTTCTTGTTTCTCGTTTCTCGTTTCCCAATTTCTCATTTTCTGTTTTTGTTTCTTGCTTTTTGTTTTTGTTTCTTATTTTCTATTTCTTGCTTCATTATAATGAACTGCTAGTGGCTTCCTATCGATGTGACGAAGCCACTAGTGGTTTCGATGTAATTTTATTTAATGTTTGCTTATTTGAAAGGAAGTTGCTACTTATGTGATGAAGAAACTAGTAGCTTCCAAATAGTCATTTGCTTCTTGCTTGAGCAATATGAAGTTATCGATGGCTTTTCATTTCTATGATGAATTTGTTGGTAACTTCTTAAATCCATGAATTGAAGTCACTAGTGGCTTCCCACTTGTGTAAATGAAATCGCCGATGACTCACTACTCATGCTAATAAAAAGCTATCTATATTTAGAAACTCACTTATTTGTTGATAATAGGTCGTGTTCACTAATAACTAGCTAAAATTTTTCAACTTCCCCCGCGTTTCCTCTTTGGGTAGAGATTATTGGCCTTAGATCGGTCTCGAACTCTTAAACTATCTAATTTTACATATGAACCATCTTGTTTTATGTTTTTACAAAATAAATTCATTTAAACGGGTATAGAAGCATAACACGATACAATCGGATATTTTATGTTCATAGGTAAACAATGCAACTTCGCCTAAGGTAGGATAGGATGGTAGTGATATTATATCTTCTCCATACGTAATCGATCTTTTGCTCAAATATCCATATAAACCAATATGTTCGGGATTTTCTAGTTCTCCTCGATTAGTTAAATGGTGACTCCTTATCGGGCCCTCCTTGTGGTGGCCGACATCGATAATCGAAATGCTACCGATTAGTTGTAAAATAATAAGAATGCCTCTATAAGTGAAATGACCAAACTCGCTCATGCATTGCAAAATTACAAAATGCCTCTAGAATGCCAAAAGTCGAATGCCAATTGAATGTTTATCTTTTGATGGTCCTTTAGGTGCGTAGACCACCCCGTATTATAAAGGAGGTCGTTGCAAGTTCAATGATGGTGGTGGATGTTAGCAATGATATCGAATAGTGAGATCGGAGCCTCCAAAGTGTCAACGATGGTGATGGATCTCTCTTTCTCATCAATGATGGTTCGACCACTTTATGGGGTTCTAAGGATACCGATTTACTTGTGAGACTAAGAGGAGTATTTCTATGGTGGTTAGGATGTTGGATTCTATCTAAATTAGCTAATTTTTTTAGGTTCTTCTAAACGGGTGGGAAATGAGTCTTTTTCAATTAGACCATTTTTTGGTGATTTTGGATCATGAATTCAAGGAGGAAATGCTTAGAGTTGGATGGCCAAGTTTGTACAGGTGGAGCTTGAATATTCAATTGGAATGAGGAAATATAAATGGGTTTTCTAACGGGCGAGGTGATGACAATTTAAGCTTTAATTTCTTTCTTCTCTATCATCATTTTCTCCTTTACCCGAGTGGGGATAGGTCAATCTAATGATAAGCTACACATGGGTGCTCGGTGATTGAGGTAAAAAAACAATAAAAAACTGATTTATTTGGAGGAGAAATATTCAACGGGGTAAATTGGTAAATGGGTTTAGTATTGGGTAAATGCGTGTTTGTGGCCATTTTTCCAGCTTTTAGTATTTTTTATGTGTGGTTTCTTTTTATGGTGTTTTCTTTTTTGTGTGTTTTAGTGTTGTGGTGGTTGGTTAAATGGAGAGGGTTGTTGATGATGTTTTTTTTTTATCGAGGAAGATGGCTTGAATGATGGAAAAGTGGGGATTTGTGGGTTTTTGGATGGAAAATCATGCACAACCAGCTAGAGAGTACAGAGCAAGTTGCTGAAAATTTGGAAGAGGTGGAGGCTTTTTTTGTTTGTAGAAAAAAGTTAGCTTTTATAGGTAGGAGTTAGGGTTTTTGGGATAAAAATCCATTCCGATCTTGATTTCACTTAGTTTGTCTAATTGAGCATAATTTGAGTCGTTTGAAATTAAATGGCACCCAAATTATGATTAATCAAGTCTTTTCCCAAAATTTTGTCTCTAATTACATCCCTCTTTTTTTATTTTAAGGTTTTTTATTCTTTCTTTTTTTTTTTTTTTTTTTGCTCTTGATCGTGTTTATCTTTAAACTTTTTTTTATAATTTTAGCTAGCCTCCCTCTTCTTAAAATTAATCTAATCTAATTATTTCAATTGTTTTAAATTTTGATTATTTTTTTTTATTTATGATTTTTTAGCAGTTTTGTTTTGGCTTTATATTTTTTTGGTATTTTGTTTAATAAAAAAAAAAAGTAAAATGGGAAAAAAATTAGGTGTTAACAATTGTCCCTTCTTTAAAATGCTTTCATTTTAAAGTCATTGAAATTTTATTCTTTTGTCTTTGTATAAATAGCTTTGTAAAGAAACAAAAATTAAAATGCGAACATACAACATAAACATATGAGCGACCTTAGAAATGAAAAAGATAATCATTGATTTTGGATGGCAACCGATCATTCAATGAAACGTGACCAACCACTAATTTTGCAAGATGTTACGGACCACTCGACCTCACGTAACGTGGCGAGACTACTCTAAAATTACAAGATATAATATAATACTCTAACCTTGTGAGATGTGATATACCACATCAACTCGGTTATATTTAGCAGACCATTCTAATTTGACAAGATGTGATAGACCACTTTGACTCGGTAAGCATGATCGACCACTCTTACCTCACAAAATGTGACGGACCACTCTAACCTTATAGAATATGATCGATCACTCGATTTTGTAAGATGTGATAGACCACTTAGACCTTGTAAGATGTGATAAATTACTCGACTTGTAAGATGTGACGAGTCACTCGACCTTATAAGATGTGATAGACCACTTTGACTTGAAAGGACATGAGAGACCACATCAATCCTGCTATATTTGGTAGATCATGCTAATTTTATGAGAAGTGATAGACGACTTTGACTTTACTAGGCATGATAGACTACTCTAACTTCACAAGACATGACAGACCACTCGAACTTGTAGGATGTAATCGATCACTCTAACTTTGCAAATGTGACAAACCACTCAAACCTTATAGGATGTGATAAACTACTCGACTTGTAAGATATGATAGACCATTCTAACTTGCAAGATATGATAGACCACTCTCACCTTACGGGCTCTAGCCTTGTAGGATGTGACAAATCACTTTGACTTAAAAGGATGTGCCAAACCACATCAACCCCGTTATATTTGGTAGATCAAGCTAAATTTAAAGGATGTGATAGACCACTTTGACTCTCCTAGGCATGACGGACCACTCTAACTTCGCAAGATATGATAGACCACTCTAAACTTGTAGGATGTGATCAATCATTCGAAGTTATAAGATATGACGGACCACTCTAACCTTATAGGATATGATAGGTCACTTTGACCTTACAAGATATGATAAACCACTCGACTTACAAGATGTGACGGACCACTCTAACCTTACTAGATGTGACAACCACTTTAACTTGGAGGGACATGATAAACCACGTCGACTCGCTATATTTGGCAAACCACAATGATTTTGTAGGATGTGATAAACCACTTTGACTTTGCTAGGCTTGACGAGACCACTTTAACTTTGCAAAAAGTAATAGGCCACTTTGACTTTGTAAGATATGACGGACCACTTCAACTTAGAGGGACGTGATATATCACATCGACTCTACTATATTTGCGTACCGTGTAAATTTTATGGGTTATGACGGACCACTTTGACTTTACAAGATGTGATAGACTACTTTGACCTTGTAGA